AACAACTCCGGCCCTTCCTCACAATGGTTTTATGTCCTTACGTCCTTATGTTATCCCTCCGTGGTACATTATTGTTGTAGTTACGTTTTGTTTGTAGAATGAAAAATCTGTACCATTCTACTAGACTTCAAAATAAATAAATAAATAAAGAATATGTATTGCTGCGGATGTAAACTCGTCTCCAGCAAAGACCGTGTTTTCAGACCTCAGAGAAAGTGTCTCCAATCGCAGAATATTGTCAAAGTAGAAAATACATCTATTCTGTGCCAAAACTTTTAGCTGAGGATCTAGTGATGTCTTTGGATAGAGGCAAATGTAGCTTATCTGAACACAGCCGATTTCTCAAACTTTTCCGCTGATTGTTCCAGTGTTTGATTCTATTATTTTATATTATTCATTCATTTATATATTACAGGGACAGTACATTTTAATTAACATTTCTGTAAATTTTTCATTTTTCATCCGTAGTCCCGTGTCTCCTGAAAAATAAAAACATGTTTGCTCCACAGACAGTTCAAATAATGTGAACTATTTACAGTATTTACAAGGACAAGACAAGAAAACATTCAGTCACACAACATTCAACAAACGATACACACACATAAGGAGACACACACACACACACACACACACACACACACACACACACAACACAAACAGTCACACACAGAGCACACACCTCTGGAGTCAGTTTTTCAGAGTTAAATATCTGTATTAAAATCACTTCTGGGCCATAAAGGCGCAGGCTGTTACTATGGCTCCCTCTGTTGGACAAAGTGTGTCACTACAGAATAACACCAGAAATCCCAGAGATTTTAGTTTTGATGTAATTCTCACGAATTTGGTCTTTATAACTTTGTGACTTGTTCTGTAATTTTTTTAAGTTTATTTCCATGTCTTTATTTTTTCATGAAATCAGTAAAGGTAAATAAGTTATACCTCAATCTCAAAGTGTATAGCAGTAATCTATCCTCTTTGCCAACATCCTATAGCAGTTAACTCTATTCAACTTTATTAAAACTAGTTCCTTGGGGATTTTTTTCAGAATTCTAATTGACTTTTGTTGTGCTTTTGTTTGGCCTAACAACCAGCGACACACACACACGGGCAGAGACACTTTCTCACTTCACACTTTCAGCAGGAAACTCCGCAAACGTAACGAGAAAAAAGTCCAGATTGATGTCGCATCCTGCCCCTCGTCTCCATGGCAACGCTTGATAACAGCAACATCCTGCCGTGAGTCAGAGAGCGAGTATGAGGCATGACAAGAGGAATGCGGGGATCCAGAGTCAGGTTATTTATCATTTTTGCAGTTAAAAAAAACCACATTGGATTGTATGTTCAAAAGTCCCCAGTGCGCACCAACAAGTACAGGGATAAAACAGGCTAAAAAGTACAAGAAACAAGAAACCATTCAACAAAACCAGCTCCAATACAAGCATCTATCTCCAATAGCATCTTCTGCCAGAGGGAAGTAAGTAAGTAAGTAAGTAAGTATATAAATACCGCCTTTTCACTGCAGATCTGAGTCTCAAAGCGGTTTACAAGTGTTATTTTTTTTTTTTTTTTGGGCATTTGTCTCTCACTCCACACAGAGATGGGAGCGGGGCCAGTACAGGAGGCGCATGCCAGACCTATTGTACATATTTTTAGTGGTAGGGGAAACCGGAGTACCCGGAGGAAACCTACGCAGACACGGGGAGAACATGCAAATTCCACTCAGAAAGGCCCTGGTCCGACCGGGATACGAACCCAGGACCTTCTTGCTGAGAGGTGAGAGTGCTATCCGTGGCTGAGTGGATAGGAAGAAGCTGGAACATGGCTTTTCCACGGCCCAGAAGAGTCATTGCTCCTCTTTCAGAGCGGAGCACCTCTCTCCGGTCTCTCTTTCTGCATGGTCTCTCTCTGGTCTCTCTTTCTGGTCTCTCTCTGGTCTCTCTTTCTGGTCTCTCTCTGGTCTCTCTCTCTGCTCTCACTCTGTTCTCTTTCTTCAGTCTCTCTCTGGTCTCTCTTTCTGGTCTCACTCTGTTCTCTCTCTGTTCTCTCTCTTCAGTCCCTCTCTGGTCTCTCTCTGGTCTCTCTCTGGTCTCTCTCTCTGGTCTCACTCTGTTCTCTCTCTTCAGTCTCTGTCTCTCTCTGTTCTCACTCTGTTCTCTCTCTTCAGTCTCTTTCTGGTCTCTCTCTGGTCTCTCTTTCTGGTCCCTCGCTGGTCTCTCTCTTTTCTTTGGCTATGATGTCATAAAACCACTCAGTCTCAGAGCCCACAGGCAAACCATCATTACAAGAACACACGCACGCAAGCACGCACGCACACACACGCACGCTCGCACGACCACACGCACACACACGCACGCACGCACGCTCGCACGCACACACGCGCACACACGGGGTGACTTTAGGCATGGTTCTTTGGGCGTGTCCCCTCGCGCTGCCCCCGGACCCAGGCCCTGCTCCGGACCCAGACCCTGCCCCCGGACCAGGCCCTGCCCCCGGACCAGGCCCTGCCCCCGTGCAGATGTGAGCTAACGGGAGACACTACGCAGACACTCGGGGTGATTCTGGGCGGGATCAGAGCTTCCAGCAGCCGCTAAAGTGTCCCGCCCGCTCCGCTGCAGAGCTCCGCTGCAGAGAGAATCCGCTGATCGCTCACTCCATCGAGAACCAGGCGAGACCATTACGCACGAGCCCCACGGAGAAACCTCCACATCTGCAGGTAAACCGCCTCCAAAGACTAATGTGTAGCATCTGTTCTGTTCTCTACGTGTTTAGTTTGTGATAATTAGACCAAAGAGAACCGCAATGAATGACTTCTTATCACTTGTACTTGTTGCGTCTTTGGAGCCAGTGCGTCTGCGTCAGAAAACAACGTAACGCAAAAACAGATTTAACTAAAAAAAAAACACATGTAAAGTTTTTCACACGTCTATAATAATTAGTCTATACTGTGAAATGTATTTTAAAGAGACATTGATACTGTAAGATTTTGCTTTTCACGTTAATATACAATTATTATTATTTTTTCCATATAGCCTGAGTTTGTTTGCTCCAGCTTGATGTCATTTATTTTTCTATTTTTCTGAAATGTGCGTAACTAAAACATTTCCACTGAGGAACAGATGTAGGTTTCTCGTTTTAAACCTCAGACATGTTTTATTTAATCTTTTATTTCACTTTATGTTCTTAATGAGGCAAAACAACTGGGACTCCTATAGACCAGACCCGGGCAAAGCTGCGGCCCGGGGGCTACATCCGGCCCGATTCACGTTTCTCTGTGGCCCCTCCCAGAATTTTACTTTAAATGAGTCAAGGCTTTTATCTCAATCTGTGCAACTTCCATGTTTTATAATTAATCTGTTTGTTTTTGGACCCAGTGATAAAACTGTCTCGGTTTGTTTTATGAAATACTGATAAATGTGAAAATGTTTCCGGGTCTTCACAATATTTAATTCAAGCTATTTTTGTATCGCCCACAAAAAATAAATTTAGTTGCCAGCAGTAGTTTTCTCTGAGGACTTTACGAATGACTTCTCCTGTAAAAATGTGTGAAATTAGTTGATTTTCTACCATCTTTAATTAGTGATTAGCAGTAAATGTGAGTTATCTGCTTGAGAAACTGTTTTTGAGCAACTCTGAGATAAATCTGGCTGTTCACAAAATGACTTAAAATGTAAAACTTTTCAAACATGTTTTTAAGGCACTTTCTGTGTTTGTAAAGGTTTTTATTCTCAGTTTACAATATTCTCAGAAGTCTGTTTATACAATATTTTATGCAGGTGTTTTTCCAGTTTAGATCCTGTCGTAACGGTCAGAGCAGTTTGCAGCAGGACATGAGACTCGTCCATTTAACTGAACGATCGCTCAGAGCAGGATCGATTCTTTACTGCACAATCTGTTTAAAAACATTAGATTAAAACCCGGAGGATCCTTCTTCAGAGTTCGGACCCGAGAGAAACCTCTGGACGCTTTAGAGAAACTCAGATTTGTGCCGAAGCTCCAACTTTAAAGTAAAATCTAAATAGAACCTGTTACTGTCGCTCTGTCTCTGTTATGCTAACGCTAAAGTTTATACTAACTTCTTTACGGCGCGAAACCAACTCAGAAAAAAAACATAGTACGTTAGAAAAGAGTGAAGATAAATCCCCCAGTTGTCTGGATAGATCTCATCAGACCTCTGAAGCTAAGCAGGGCTGGGGCTGGTTAGTACTGTGATGGGAGACCTCTGAACAGCAGGTGCCACAGTGGGGCGGCTGTGGCTGTAAACTGTGGTTGTGTCCTTTGGCAAGACACTTCCCCCACATTAGAATGAGTCTGGTGTGTGTGTGAGTGGTTGGTGGTGGTGGGAGGGGCCGATGGCACAGACTGGTTGCCCCAGGGCAACTGTGGCTACAGTTGTAGTTTATCATCACCGTGTTTGGAGGGAAAGAATAATGACGTGAAGAGACTTTTGAGTCACTATCTGACGCTTTGAGCTGATTGGCTGATCTGCAGATGGCATTAATTACGCTGGTGTGATGATAATTTGTCATTCAGCCAACTTCAGCTCCATCATAACAGTTTATAAAGCTCATAAACAGCCAAAAAAGTTATCGGCTCCTGGACAAGTCTGGGGAACTACTAGATTATTCAATTCAATGTATTTTTGTATCGCCCTAAATCTCAACGGCATTTGTCTCAGAGGATTTACAAAGTTGGTGATTCCTCAACAACAGATCAGAGAATCAAACAGTAAACACAGGAAACACATAGAGCCATTGGTCCATAGGGGGCGCTCTGTTCTTGTTGGTCACTGTGTAAACAACAGGGAACACCAAAAGTCAGTCACGTTTTTCCCCATAAACTATTTTCTGACTCTTACTTTTCTCTGAGAGTTTCCTCGACGCCCACAGTGTTCGGGGTGTGTCCCAGGCCACGCCCCCTGCAGTACCCGGCCACGCCCCCTGCGGTGCCCGGCCACGCCCCCCGCGGTTCCCGGACACTCATTCATAATGTTACGGCTCATT